GTTAACCTTCTATAAAATATACTCAGCAAAATCTTGTAAATCTTTTCCCCGTTAAAAACAAAAAAAATAATAATTGAAAAGGTAACATGCATACAGGTCTCCATTCCTCTGATATTTTTTTTTCTGTAATTCATTGAAGTAATACGGGTCTTTTCTGTTCTCTTGTTAAAGCAGAACGAGTGTCACCTTTATGAAATGGAGACAGCATTTTTATTACGGAAGACAAACAGATGATAGTTCAGAAGAGATATTGGTGATAAATTAACTTAATCTCCATCAGGATTACTTTGCAGCTGGGATTTAGGCAAATTGAATCAGAAGCCCAGACAATGACAGTGAATATCTATTAGGCAGTAAACAGAATAATACACTGTGTGGATTTTAATAAATGAAGCCAGCAGATCGGTGTTCACATTTGCAGTATGGCTCCTGATGCGTGCATCAGGAGCACCACACAATATACAGGGAATTCCTAATGGGCAGAAGGCTCATTATTAAATCGCTTCTGAAACACCAGTCTGTCCCAAAGACATGAGCCTTGTGATTTCAGTAAATATAAATGCTTGATGGACAATGACAGCAAAATTAGCCAAAAAGCCTTTACATTTTTTATTAGAAATCACAGTCCTAAACAGTGAAAGCAATAAGTCAGTTAGTTAGACATGTTTTGTCATTACCGGCTCTGTGTTTGTAACAAATCTGATTATTTACACATTGTCAATAAAGGTATCAGTGTTTCTTTTTGATCAGTTGTCTGTCAACATCATTACTTGTGCAGCCTTTTACTGGTTTTTTTTGATCCCAATTAGAAGGTACGTCCGCAGGTTACACTGTATGTACACCACAGTTTGATTCTCTTTCCCTTGATGTATTTGTCACTTTCAGCTCTTCTATTTCTTCTTTACGGGACCTTGACATTATTCCTATGGTTTCCATGGGCATTGCTCCATTACAAATAATGTTGAATCAAGAAGCAGTCCTTTCAAAATAGCTACTGGTGTTCAAAGATACAAGCACTTCTTCTCTACTGGTCTTATCCATTTTACTTGGTTACTTAATCTCTAGCTTTCACCAACAAATGTGTACTGTCTGCAAATAGCACTTTTACTGATATAAACCTCCAATTGGGAAAACATTGCCCTAGAGTGGTGTGCCATAAATCGTGCCAGTGTGTGTGTGTGTTGCTGTATATACATTAATGCAATGTAAAACAAGATGTTTAAGCTAGTGCAAGTTTGTTTTGTAAAAACAGGTCTTGTGTCCTTATGCTTTAGCTAAAATTGAATATTTACGTATGTTTACCTCAATGATAATATTACATTATTGACCAAGATGCTGAGAAATCCTGTTCAATGCAGTTGCATTGTAGAGTCTGAAAACTCGGAAATACAATTGCATGTTTTAAATCCCTTTACTCAGGTTTTAGGATTGATTTTTTTTCCCCCTCTATACAGAGTTTGGTGATGGAGTTCCATAAAGAGGTGTGTGAAATGAGAGCCCAAATTAGACAGGCCAAGCTATTGCAGGAATCCGGCAATGGTCCATCCATACATTCTGTACACAAAGCACAGTCCCTGGCAGCTTCAATCCTGAACATCTCACACTCTGACCTCAGTGATATTCTAGAGGTTCCTGATGAAGAGGTAAATCGCTGAATTATGGAGACTGTCTTCAAATTACCTTCTTATAGCCTAAGATGTATAGTGTAAAGTTGACTAGAATTGGGTTGTAATGCTAGTCTGATTATCAATGCCCCTGGATTGCTAAGATTTTTTTGAGCATACACTACGCAATGTTTAGAAAACCACAGTCTTACTTTTCTGGCAGTTAACTACATACTGACATACTGATATTAGTTGAAAAGTTTACCTTCTTACCATCTTTTTAGTTTGTAGCAACATAATTCATGATTGCAGACTGCACAACCGGTAAGTCTTCTATTCACTGGCAAAGCTGAAACAAAAATTCTTTGTTATGACATGCAGTCTATGCAGTTAGTCTGAGCTTTGTTAGTGATCATAAAGCACGGTACGTAGTGGAAGGAATTGACTGCAGAGATGTTCCAGTCTGCTAGAAAACTGTTGTGCAACAAATGAGGGATTAGATATTTCCCCCCACTGTAAAGGAAAATGGGCCATCCACTGTGCAAGAAAGTCACCTAAGCTGATGAAAAAAAAGTCACAGAGAGGTTTGGCACATTATCATCATATCAAAAAGTAGTGGTTCACTCATTGCTCATAAAAAATGATGTAAAATGTACTGGTCTATGCGCAGACTACAATTGATGCATTGATACAGAGGACATAATTCGGGAATCTAAGGAAAAAGTTAGAGTTGAAGTTAGAACCTTGAAGCTGACAGCCTTTTGACCATTGTCTGGAAAGTGTGTAATATATATTTTGCTATTTGTTGTGATGGAGAGGGAGGAAGCGCCCCATTACACTTTAATTATTGCAAAACTGCATTGGAAAGTCATTGAAGACTCGCAATACGTTTAACCTTTACTCCTCATGTATGCAATTTCCACTTGGGATTTAGCTGATAGGTGGAAAAAAAAGAATGTTACAAAAAGGACAACTTTCTTATGCTATCTAGAAAACATGATTATTTGCTTTGTTTTTTGCATTAATTAAGCAATTCAGCCTGCTGTACCTCCTTGCATTTTTTTATGAACTATTATTTTAGTCTAAGTGAATAGGAGGAGCATAATTTGTTTTCACTGTTTGTGTCTAGTTAATGTAATGGAAAGATAGATGGCTCAGCAGCTGTCAGAACAAGCCTCTGCGACCTCTGTGCTGCTGGGGTAATCCTGGACCAGGTCCATACAGCCATTTGACGCGTTTATGGAAGATACAGGGATATTGATTGTTCCTTGTTATTAGCAAAATAAGGATATGTAATGTATCCATGAAGCACTCTTCTGGTCACTTCTGATGCAAGGTGTTTTAAATGCAATGTGCTTTTTTATTCTGTGTCCATAATGCTTTCATAAACCTGTCATAAATTATTGTGTCTCCTTTCCTCCCATTAGGAAATGGCAAATGCGAAGCGGTCAGTAGAATATGATAAAGAATGGATGAACCACATAATGAAGCTGCTTGAAGGACAGGTATTGGTAATATTCCTCTGAGCATTTCTTATTTTAAGCCATTTACATAATGAAGATTTTACATGAAATAAACAATACAAGACTTTCCAGCCTGGGCCATTAAACTGATGTCAACAGCAGAAAATTGCCTTTTACAACAATGCTGCAGCCATTTATCTCACATGTAGATGCAGAAAGCCATAGTTTTATAGTAGCAAGTACACATATATTTCTATTGTTTTGATACTACAAGGCAGAACAGTTGAAAGATAAACCTACTACCTATTTATTAGCTGTCAGTTATGACTACAAAGGCTTTTGAAATACCAGTGTGCCAAAAAAAGGAGTTACCTGTTAACTAGTCATTGACAATTTTCACAAACTCTTCATTACCCATTGGATTCAGGATTCAGCTTTGGCTCCTAGTCTGATAGCTGGAAGACTTTGGTCTTTCAAATAGTTGTCAATCTGCTGGTTTAGAGTGTTGACCGTGCAGCACAAGGGGTTCTCTTTAAATGGTAAATGTCTTCTTAATTATTTTAATACTGCAGGCAGAATTAGCTACACAATCATAGATGCACTGACTAAGGTTACTGAACAGCACATAATAAACCATGCAAGTATTGAACAACAAATGCTATGTAGGCACTAGAGTTGTTTGTGAATTATATACATTTGGGAACATCTCCTTTATCGTTTATGGTTCCACAGGACACATTATGCTAATGCAGCAGAGAATCACTTCCCTTATTAACAAAGGATTTCATTGATGCCGGCTTGTCTGGGAACATACCATACTTCATAACACTTACTAACCGTTCCCAATTGTCATGGGAAATGTTTCTGCAAGCCTGTTGTCAGTCCTAGCTAATGAGAAAATGAATGGCATCACATCCAGGAGGGCAAATAGCATTTACTTGAAAATCTGTCCCAACTTAACACTCGCCAATCAAGATTTGCAATGTTGGCATACATTATTACGGTATATATATTTTTTTATAATTTGAGGGCTCATGTACGCAGCCGCCTGTGGCTGTACAATGTACTGTAAATACTGGGAAATTACCCCCCATCAGGGAGCCACAACTGCTGTGTACAGCCTCCCATAGACGTCCATGGCTGTAGGTGGTTATACCCAAAGTTGTATAAACACACGCATGCATATGAGCACACAATTCAGCTGGTGTAAGCACCTATATTTGACTTGAAGTCAGCCAATTACTCCAGGCATATATTAAAAAAAAACTGTCATTGCAGTAATGTATTCATTAAAAATAAAGGGTATGTAATACCAAAACTTTTATTTTTTATGTAGGTTTTGGATAGAGTAGGGCAGGGATGGACAAATTAATATGAAATTCAGGAGCCAGTCTGTCCAATCCAGGAGCCAGCAGGATTTTTTAGGAGACAGCTTCACTGACAACAACTAGCGAAAACCTCAAAAGTTAGGCACCGGCTCTAAATTTTAAGGAGCATTGGCTACCTGGGTCCTGTGATTTGTTTAGCAATGGGCGATACCCTTCTCAAGTTTGTTTTTGCCATTTACTTCCTGTTGGAGAGATTTCCATAGATTTTCTGTTAAGGATGAGCACATCTGCCCAGGTTTGGTTCACAAACTGTTTTGCAAATTTTACTTGAAGGTCAATAACATTGCAGCAAACCCCATTGCTGTCTATTAGGGGGTGAATCTGGCTATTAATTTGTAGGGTTTCTAAACAAGCTATTATGACACAAGAGGTATGGGAAGACGGGCAATGCCATGGGGGACATGTACCAATGCCAAAAAAAAACATACAGCGGCGACTACTATCAAGCACCAATGTGACATCATTTGGAGGTGACAGGTTCTCTTTATTGAGTCATCAGAGGTCTATTATACTCCTATACAGACGATGAAGCACAGGAAAGTAGCCTAGTACAAGTGATCTGGGTGCCTGTATAACCACACAGATCACTTGTAGTTGTAGCAGCCGGCTGGCTGGCTGGTGTATCCACTTTTCAGCCATAACCGAGCACAGGTTGGTGATCATGGTCTAGACTGAACAGCCACTCAGTCCATGCCTGGACCACAGTCCGCCATTTAGTGATGCCCGGTGTATATCAAGAATAGAAACATTTCTATTCTTGGAATACACACGTATGCTATACAAGTGTTTACGTGAGTACCTGGGTATACCAGCAGAATGCCATGCACAGCCATTTGTGTCTGTTGGGAGGCTTTACGCAACACCTAGATTCCCAGGTGCGGGAAAATACACTGGAATTTACCTTGCAATAGGGTCAGGTATGCATGTGCAAGAGCCCTTTTACTTTTCATGAGGAATCTTGGCATTTCAGGGCCACACAAAACCATGACAAGGACTGGACTTTAGTATATCACCCTCGCATGCACACATCACTTTAGTCTTCTAATAGAAGATACTTTTATCTCTGTAAACAAGGATATTACTAATATATGACTGCATTGTTGTTTGATCAAATCGGCACTCCATGCTATCCATTCACCCGGCTTATTACAGTTTTGCATTCTAATTGAGTTATCATGCTGTATGAGGGGGGTGTGTTATTTCCGAGTGGCTGTATTTTGGTTAACAAACATCAGTTAAAAACATTCCATAGATATATTCATAAATGTATCTGCTGTTTTTTAAGCACTGTTCTGTTCCTAGTTTGCTTTTATGATCTTTTCATAATTAAACACTATTCTTCGACTTGCAACAAAGCCAAATTAAGGGATACTTTAACTGTAATTTCTTTAAAAAAATTCTATACTAATAGACTTGGTATAGAACTCTGCAGTGCATCTCATACTACAAAGCCATACTTTGGATAGACCAGCAAGTCTGTAGTGGTTCAGTACATCTGTAATGAAGCTGTTCGGCGCAAAGGCCTCATATTGTCAGCTAACAACCACTGCAGTATTCATGTCCATATCTTTACTTGATTACTGATTTAACCTTGTCTACCCAGTGTTGACAAATGTCTGCAGTGCAGTGGGACAGCTGTGTGTTTTAGTCAAGCCAAGCAGCAAAAAAAATAAAAATAAAAAACACTGTAGATGTCTGTCTGGTTCTCTTGGGTATGCAGAGGAAGAGTCATACCTCGGGCTAAAGCAGACTAATAGCTGTGTCTTGTCTTAATAAACTTAAAATAGAAGCCTGCTGAATTAAAGAAAGTTGACTTAAAAAGTTTTTTTTCTGTGTTCAACTTTGTCATTAGTACAGTATTTAGTGTAGCTATTGTACAGTTTGTAATAATAGTTGTATACAAAGAGAACATTTTCAAAAAAATTTCAGAAAAATGTCAGACCCAGTAACATTTTACTGTAAAGCTTGTCATACACACAATGATTTCTTCCCAAATAGTTATATTCTCAGATTATCCATTTTGTACCCAATATAAACATTCTGTTTGGTACATACTGCCTTGCTTTCATGGGTGGTAACATTAAGGCCCCGTTCCCACTGCGCGATATGCAAATCGCGCGTTTGTCGCGCGATTTGCATATTGCGCAACATCGCGAGATTTGCATTGAGCAAGCTTGAATCACGGCTAAATCCGCTCCAAAAAGGGTCCTGCTGTAGTGACACACGACCCGCGACAGCAGGACCCTTTGCCCCATTGGATTGCATTGGAGCGCGATATCGCGGGAATTACCGCGCGATAAATCGCTCAATGTGAACGGGGTCTAAGCCTTGCATGACCAGTGGATCATTAATGTGTAGATGTCCAGGTCACATTTAGCAGTGTCAGCATGGGTTGTCAACTTGTGTCAGGGCTGGAGTAACGGGCCAGGTGTGGAACCCCTTGGCAGGGACAAACAAAGTCCAAAAATCGCAGTACAAAAGGATAATCCAATCGGGGAGTCAGGTCCAGTTCCGGGTCGTGGCAGGCAGCAGAAATCGTAGTCGAAGGGTCAAGCGAAAGGGTCGGTAGCCGGGAAGTCAAATCAAACAATGGGTTCACAGGAGGGAGCTGGGTGTTCACCATGAGGTAGAATAACTCAGCAATGAGTCAAGGCTCTGACCAGCTTTAAATAATCAGGGAACCCAGTACCGCCCCCTGGCTGTCAAGGCAACCAGGAAGCTTCCCCTGTCAGAGTCCAGTCACAAGGCTGAAGGCAAGTGGTGAAGGCTGAAGTCCTCCCCCAAGACTGAGTAGCACCTGTGGCACGGAATG